ACTACTTTAGCTGTTCTTAGTCCACCCTCACTCTTCATAAGGAGACGAATAATAGCAAGTTCAAAAATCACTGTTTTTCCAGAACCTGTTGGAGCGCATACCACAAGTGGTCTGTCAGTGTACATCACCTGTTATTCAAAGGGAAAGCTTTAGTTAAAAATCAATGAAACGACACAGGCAGCAGCACTCCTGCTTACATATAACGCGTACGGTTTTAAGAAACTTCCGCTTCAAAGAGATTGTCGAGGTCCGATTGTCATGTTTCAACCATTACTTGTTATCATATGAAGAACTGCCTGTTATCTCAATGACAGGTATATAGTTATATTTGAGCTTCAAAAGTTCTGCCTTGATCAGGATGGAACGGAAGAGGTAACAACTTTTTACGGACTTCAGCACGAAACCACGTATGGGAAATAAAAGGTTTTCGTTAAATTTTTGTACCTTTCCCGAAGTCTACGGTAATTTTCACATTTCAACACAGATAAAAGACCTCCACGGCCCATCATGGAAAGAGAAAATATTGGCAAACACACAACTTTAAAAAATTTCTGAGGCTTTACTGGCTCTGCATCTCATACAACGACAACAAAGATCGAGGCTGCTGGAAACGACATTCCCCTTGAGTGAACTGGTACTGGCTCGGCCAACCCCAGGATTCATTAGGACGGAGTATTAGCAAAGTCGCGCATTAATATCACTTGCTAAAATTCAACCCATCTTTTGGCATCACTTTTATACGCCTATTACTCAAGCAAACCACGATAGCGACGGCAACGAGGACGTGGAAAACAAAAGATCTAATTGGCGTGAAATCACCAAAATTCGCATCGTCTGCGAACCGAAACCGCGACGGCAAATTATTTCATTTCCATTTGGAACTCAACGTTACTCTTATACATTATGTTGAGGTTGAGGCGTGGCGCCGTAAGAGACATTAACCACTTGAAGCCATTTTCGAAATTCTAATTAAAAGTAGAAATTCATTTTTTAATCGACGTCTACCTTGGTGTCGCCGTCCTGACTGCTTAAGGTCACTATTAATCCTCTCTATCAAGTTTCCCAACGTAAATACTCCCGTTAAGCTTTGATCTAAAAATTGCTCAAAGTTACCGCACGGTATTAGAGTAAGGTTTACCTCGTCAAATACTTTTGACTGCACGATATTAAAGTAGGGAAATTTGCTGAAAACTGAACGAAATGGGTTGGCTTTGTATGATTAAGGAAAGCTGTAGATGCTCAAAGGATACTTTTCAGAATGTTACCTGGATAAAATCAAGTTATGTTATAAGTTACTAAGGTAAACCTTTTATCCGATGTTTAAGCTGACCGGGATATTCTTTTCAGGACGCGGTTATTTACACGAGCTCTAACCCAAAC